GCTAAAAGCTCTGCTGGTTTTCTACCCGGAAGTATTTGTAAACAACAAGGCGATTCCCTCTATAGTCCAGCCAGACGGATGAGTCATGGCCTTGTAAAAGATTATGTTTGTTTCTTTTAGTTGGCGAGAATGTGTCGCCGCAAACGCGACAAACATCCACTAACTTTGATGGCGTTTTCTGCGAGCACAGCTGAGCCATTTTGTACCGCTACACGTGTTTCTAGTGGGACTATGTTTACAAGCACAAGAGTTCAGCAAACCACCGAAGGACCGCCCTGCAGATTTACTATTGGTTCTGCAACGTAGGGAGTTTTTTTTAAACTCTGAAATTGTATCCACCCATCTAAACACAAAATCAGGGAGAAAGTCATCAGTCTTTAGTTAAGCAAAGCGTCTAAAGACTGACTTGTGAGTCTAGGGTACTGATGGAAAGCAAATGTGACTATGTGCATTGGTCTCTGGATGCTTTTAACATGCTTTTGAACACATACATGGCTGATACCAGTTCAATCAGGAGACTTGTTTTGAGAAAAAAGAATATTTATTTACATGTGCACATAAGTATGAGAAATGTGAAAATTCTTTGGCAATTAGACCCCATCGTGATGTCATTTATTCCAAGAGGGTGATAAAGACATAGTAGATTAGAGATGAGATGAAGAGGGAGCTGAGGATCTGGATTTGAAGAGGAATGGGCTTTTGATGAGTGTGTTCTGGGCTCTGGATAAGGTGACTGGAGGTGAATGGGGTCGAGGCGTGGCAAGTCTGCCTAAAATGACAGCTTACAGGAGTAGAGAGGAGAACGGATTTAAAGTTTGGCAGCAGCAGCATGAATGGCTGAAGGAGATCACAGCAAGGCTTGATTGGCTAACCGGAAAAGGGAACACCCATAGTCAGCTGATTGGTGGAGGTGGTAGGAGTGGGATAGAGAGAGAGAATTGTGAACGGATACAGCATAAAGAACTTATGCTGAGCTTCTTAACTCTTCCAAGAGCACATATAGCTCTCAAACTCTCTGTTTCCATTGTACAGTTTGCTCTCCGTTATAGATTCATTGTTTTTCCCTCATTTAAGGTTTTACTGGCTCTAAGCATTTCATCTCGTTGCGCCCTGCTCTTCTGCAGTAATATAATGGCACCTGTCTGGAAAAGTAGCGTCATCTATAATACTAGTGGATCAAAAAGAGCATAAATCAGCATTTTCTTTTGCCAATTTCCTGAAAACTGAGTTAAATTTAAAGTTACATTTGGAAGGATAATTGACTAATATTAAGTTTTCCCCAGCTTTTGCTGAGGCGACAGCCCTATCTAAACAGTCAAATGCTGGTGTGGAAATTAAGCAACAGTTACCAAGATGCTACAGTCATACAGAATGCACTATGTGTATGTATTTATATATATATGAATGGTGTCTATGGAAGAATTAGAAAGCTGTTCTATCGAAAAAAGTCCATTACAACTGCTCTATTATTCTCATGTTTGCTTGTATTATATATCTCAGCACTTGGATTTAAAATGCTGATTTAATCAATAGCTTTTTGAGGGAAACAAAAAAATGTATAGATGGAAATTAAAGACAAACAAACAAAAACGTGTATGATATAAAATCTTACTGTAACTAATAACCTGTTTTACCTCTGTCTGTCTGTCTGTCTCCTCCTTCTCCTCCTGTCCAGCGACGGCTGGGCAGACAGGTACGATGTTACAGATGGCTACGAGAGGGAGGCAGCTGGTGGAATCACTATCAAGCTCAAGTCAGCGTATGTGACCTGGTTCGACGATTATTACCTGAACCTGACGCCTGACGCCAACTTGAGGAACCCGTGGTTCCCTGAGTTCTGGCAGCATCGCTTCCAGTGCAGGTTGAGGGGGCATCCACAGGAGAGCAGCATATACAACCGGACCTGCACCTGTTAGCACAACTTCATGTTCCTTACACCTCCTTCCTGCATTCACATCCTAAACGCCTTACCATCAGTTTAGATCACAGTGATTTGGTTTCTTCTTATGAGCAGGTCTCTGTTCTCCACAGGGAGAGAGTCTCTGCGCCAACACTACGCCCAAGACACCAAGATGGGCTTTGTTATAAATGCCATATATTCCATGGCTTATGGCCTGCATGCCATGCAGGAATCCCTCTGTCCAGGGTATAAGGTACAATAATGAGCAGTGTGCACATTTATATGTTTTCATATGGATGTGACAGTATTGACAGTGTTGTTTCTCCCTTGTGCCAGGGCTTGTGTGAGAACATGCGGCCCATTGATGGCCGCAAGCTGCTGGAATTCCTGATGAGAACTAACTTTACTGGTGTGTCTGGGGAGACCATCCTCTTTGACCAGAATGGAGACTCACCTGGCAGGTGAGGATTATATTGGGGAAGAAAATGATGAAGTAGAAAGAAATGTTAAACATATGCGTACGATGATTCATACACACAGTATATGTGCCTCAGGTATGAAATCATGAACTTCAAGCGCACAGGCGAGGATGAGTATGCTTACATCCATGTGGGAAGCTGGGACCAGGGTGGCCTAAAGATGAACGATGAGGAAATCTGGAGTAACAACAGTGACATCATCCAGTCAGTCTGCTCTGAGCCCTGCCAGAAGGGACAGATCAAGGTATGCAGGTTTTACATTCTCGAGAAAGATGGGTTTTAAAATTGATAAGTTATGTCAAATCTCTTAAATTTTTTATAAATTTAGATTCATAGTTTACATCATACCATGGAAATTCAGTTTTGCAATATTGGCAGCTGTTTCTGTTATAATCTCCGAACAACAGACATGGTTTCACACATTGTTTCACTGTAGACCAGAGAACATATTAAAGTTTTATGGAAGAAAACTGTCAAGCAAGACCCACACAGCAGCCATGACTTGGTCCCACAGGTCTGAATCTACAAGATTGGTCCAATCAGATCCTCAAGTTCCCCACCAGAGACTCAGAAAAGCTCTTTGTTCAAGCTTTAATAATGTCCCATCTGGGCCTCTGTAACTCCCAGCAGCTCCTCCAAATCATAGAGAACACTGCAGTCTGCCTCCTCTTAATCATCCCAAAAGTCTCTAACATTAAACCCATCCTACACACTCTACACCGGCTCCCCGCAATGTGGCAGCTTGCAGAGAATTCAAAACTCCAGTGTCATGCTTTAGAGGAGATCTACTTGTTCACACCTCCGGGCCTTACACCCCAGCCCACGTTCTAGCTTTGGCTCCACCGGCTGCTTCTCTCTTTCCGACCTGTGTTGACCTTGAGGAGGCATTCCCCGCTTCCTGTCATTTTAGCAATGCTTTCCTTCAAAAACAAAACACCTCACACCGCATTCTCTCACAGCTCTCATCGCTGCTCACTACACCTGTTATCCTTTTCATCCGTCCGTGAAGCCTGTCCCAGGTTACCATCACAGGAAACATGCAGGTGGTGTATGATCACAATCAAAAGCAGAATACAGTTTCCGGATCTCTTGACCTGCATGCCTTCAGACTGTGAGAGGAAACTGGAGCACCCTAGGCAATCCCAGGTCGTCATGCCCAGTGGTGTAGTGGTAGTTGATGAGGTGGGTCTACTGCTAGGTAGATTGGAAGGTTACCAAGGAGGAAGTGGGTGTACTCTACTATATATTCCAATGGCTTTTTGGCTGATAGATGGGTATACTGAAAATGTACAGAAAAAGAGGTGGATATACCCGATATACCTGTGTATACCCTCCACTATACCACTGGTCCTGCCCCTTGGTGTCTCATCGTGACAGACAGGCCGCACAGCTGAAACATATTATAAAATGTGGTCAGTGTTGTGAAATGGTGACGGTTAGGTTTAGGCACAAAACTACTTGGTTAGGTTAGTTCTGAGTTAGAATAAGTACGCTTGTAGTAACCTAACGTGACGTAAATATGTCACATGAGCGATGGCAATGCGGGATGACCATATATAAATTGTGTAACATTAGAACAACATTGACCTTAAGGTTTCAGACTGGATGTAGGTATTAAAGTGACGTATATCGCACATTAAAACAACACAAAGTTTTGGTTTCACATGGGACACAAACTGTGGTCTCCTGGGTGAAAGTCTGGTTTTGCTTGACCCATCACACTCTCCTCCCTCCCACCTTACATGGGCTTTCTTGCACTTTATACTACATCACTTGCTCTCAGCATCATGTTTTGCCACAGATGGGTTCATATAGGAGTTAGCTGAAAGCCTGGTGCATCTCATAAAGATGCCAAAGGCTGCATTCAATGTCGATATAACACGCTCAGGGGCATGACCAAACGATGGTATTTGATGCCCTGGGGATGAGAACAGGCTTGGAAAACACGCAAGTGCAACGCCATGATTTGAACCCCAGACTTTCTGCAAGTAACAGCATGATCCACTGACCCACAACACCATCAGCTTTTTTTTCTTCACTGACAAGCTAAAAGAAAGATGTACTCCATACATGTCTCTTTTTTTCTTCTTTTGATCCCCTGATGAAGACATCCTCATTTCCCAGCCAGAGTGTAAGATTAGCTACAGAAAAGTGCCGTTGGAGCTTTGAGACCTTTCCGCCCTTTCATACTGGTGTGTGTGTGTGTCTCCAGGTGATCCGTAAAGGGGAGGTGAGCTGCTGTTGGACTTGCACTCCCTGCAAGGAGAACGAGTTTGTGTTTGATGAGTACACTTGTCAAGCCTGTGTCCTTGGCTTCTGGCCCACTCATGACCTCACCGGTAAGCGCACTTTGTTTATGTGTCTGTCGCTTGCAGATACAAGATTTCCAAACAGGCCAGAGGAGCCTTTAATCTGGGTCACACACTTGTGGTGCACCCAAATCCCCTTGCATCTTACGTACCACACACTCACACACTCACACACTCACACACTCACAAACTGGCAAATGCTCTGAACTAAGACACAGAAATCAGCACAAATACTTGTGTACTGTACACACACCAAAAGACTTTAGATCCTTGCCAGAATAAGGGATTTGGCTGAAGCCAGATTTCTTAACTCCAAAGTCTATAAAAACTGTTTGAAACCCAAATTCCTAACCTTTTGTAAACGCTTATTGTCTCCCACAGTATTTCTGTTCCTCTGTAGTTTGAAAAAACACATAAAGGCAGTTTGTGTGTGTGTATCCGCCATAGGAGAACAGCAGTGTGTTGCCATCCTTCTGATCTGTGTCTCTATGATCCCTTGTTCCTCCCTTGCAGATCCTTTTAATGTTTCACAAAAAAACATCAACTCATATGACCTGACTGCATCACAGAGTTAATATTTTACACATAACACCTAAATTGTTGTTGTTGTTCCAGTAAATAGTGCAGTATGAGTGAGTTTCTTTCACTGGCTGTTACATGCAAACACATGACTTCCTCCCACTCTTCTGTGTTTTGTTTTCTCGCTCCCAATTATCTCTCTGTATCGTGCAGGTTGTGCGCCAATCCCAGTGCAGTATGTGCGCTGGGGGGATCCAGAGCCCATCGCTGCAGTGGTGTTCGCCTGCCTGGGCCTCATGGCTACACTTTTTGTTACATCTGTCTTCATCAAGTAATTACAGCCTACAGCTTTACTGGTCTTGTACATACATAGTAAAAGGCAGTGGGTCAGGATTGATCCAACTCAATAGTAATAACATACACTGAAGCAATAATGGCTTAACTTTACCCAGTATGCATGAAAACCATCCGAGACGGGGTGTTGTTTTGACCCAGTGTTGGTGTTATTATCTCCACCTGATGTAAGCCTGGAGAGGATCATGTGTTTTGTCGTGTGAATGCGTTTGTGTGTGTCTGGAACTAATCTCAAATACTACAGGACCAATCAACCCTTATATTTTGTGTGCAAATTTATGACTATTTTCAAGGACCTCTCGTGGCTGCGGTGATTCACAACTGTTGAGAATCCTGTTTTAGTGACTCTTTTATACCCTCACTGACTGCTGACTCCGAAGTTCTCTCCTCGTTTTTATCAAAGCCACCATCTTGACTGTAATATAGCTGAGAGGGACAATTTTTCCGGCCACAGCTCTCTGCGGTTTGGTTGTGACCTGATTTTGTTCTGTCCTCTGTATAGAATCGTACCACACCTGGAGCATTTTAGAAGCAGGGAGTTTGGCCTGCCTGATTTTGTAGACTTGCAGATTTTGTGGATTTGGTCATTTTTCCTTGATATTTGTGCCTCTACCATAAGTGAGTAAGCGACTGGTTAAATGGCTTTCCTTTTTTGGTCCATTTTTCATTATTTATTGTTGTTATTTCCTACTTTGTTGTGCCATAGCCTACATCCAAATTTAACACAGTTCAAAGTCCAGTTATGGTGCAGACTGTCAAATATAGACAAGGCAGTATTTTTCTTAGTTTCCGGAAGCTTCCGAAATTTGTCTGCTGGAATTACAAGAATTGTCTAATCGACCGCAATTGACCTGGGCGACTGCTTGGCCGCAAACTCTTCATGTGACTGTTGAATTATCTACTCAAACTTAAATATAGTCGAGCTGGTTTAAACTCTTGTGTCACTATTTGTTACTGAATGTGACTAATAAGTGTTTCATTTGCAGTTTTGATTGTCACATCATTTTATTCACCTAACAATATATTTGTAGCAATATTGAAGCAAAACTTGAGCTTGTTGTGTCTGACAATGGGTAGTCTTGCTCACCAGACCTTTCTCAAGAAAAGAAAGGTTTGGCTGGGCCGACTCTCACTTTGAGATTGGAGAAAAAAACGCCCTGGCTGCTTGTATTTCTTTCAACCAATCACAATCGTTCTGGGCGGTGTCACAGCAACGGTGCGCTTGCAAAAAAAATACCAGGGGGAAACAGGTTTTGGTGTAACACGCCCACAAAAATATCGCCTACAAGACGTGAACCATGGCAAGAAAATGGCTACATCCCCACAAGATCAAACACCACAAAAGTTAGTAATGGACGTATTGAAAACGGTTGAAAACTGCTACACAACCGGAGGTGGTAGGGCGGGACTTCAGCGGGTGGCTCGTTCCGCCCAATGAGAGGCTGATCTCTGCAGCGAACTTCCACTCACGCAGACTAGACAATGGGTGAAAATTTAATTTGGCTAAATAGCCCAAGAGTAATAGTGGTGGAATGTAACTAAATACATTTATTCAAGTACAATACTTAAGTACAGTTTTGATATACTTGTACTTTATTTGAGTAGTATTTCCCTTTCCTGCCATTTAATACTTCTACTTCACTACAGTTTAGAGTTGAATATTGTACTTTTTACTCCACTACATTTATTTGATAGCATAAGTTATTATTTAGATTTGGAATAATGATATAATAATTCTTTTAATGTGTGAATTATGTTGTGTATATTTTATTGTAGTCTATTTTGTGATCTTTTTTAATCAATATAAAGTGTCTTTGAGTACCTTGAAAAGCACTCTATAAATAAAATGTCAAACAGGTCAACCTCTACCAGCTGCAACAATAAAGTGATGAAAACACTGATGCAGTGATACTCAGCTTATGGCCCACAGGTGCTGGATGGCCCCCCAACCATATTCTAATTCTCAATAAAAATAAATTGATCCACACAGGGAATGTTTTTTGTATTTTTAGTATACATAAGGTGCCAGAGTGCATAAAAAAGCAACTAAATAGTGCTTGTTTTGTCCAAAGAAAAAGTGCTAGTGGAGGATCCTCATACCTGCACAGAGGACCTAGCTAAGCCCCTAATGTCCCTACATCCTAGAAACACCCCTGCGTACACGTATGGGGTTGCTGCGACTGGCCCCTGGCCTCCTGTTATTTTGCAAAAATGGCCCCCAAGCAAAGCAAGTTGAGTATACTTGTTTTAATGCATCAATAATTACAATCCAATATAATATATACGACTCTGAAATGGGCCATTTAACATCATGAGTATTTTTGCTATTAGTATTCTAAGTGTATCTGGTTACTAATCCTTTTGTACTTTTATTTAAGTAACATTTTGAATGCAGGATTTTTACTTGAAACCTATTTCTACACTGTACTATTACTAATCTTACTTAAGTAAAATATCACAACTTCTGAACAGCAATATAAAGTAATAACAACAACTCTGGGTCAAAGCAACCTATTTATTTTACTGTAGATAAATGACAAACTGGGTAATTTTTTAATACAATAATTTCTAGTGTGTATTTGTGTTACTAAAAATGCTCCCACCATGTTGTTACTGAATTAAATGAATACATATATGATATCTAGTTCTAATTGAAACACTAAGTAAGTACATCATGTTTTGTTGTGTTTAGCAGATGTCAGCCTGATTCACAGTAGATACAAGAAGTAAACGTGTTAATTTCTAAAAAGGTAAAAATAAAGATTAAAGGTATACTATGCAGGAATTGCTGAGTATGGTTTGTAAACACTATTGCCAGCGAAAGTGAAAGTTTGGAATCTAGCCTCACAATAATTATGTTTTTCAGCACTGTGTTTGCTATTTTCGTAGCCTCCTTCTTGAAAAGAATAGAATGTAATAGGAAGCTTTTGTTGTCATTGTATAAAGAATATACAAAGAGATTATGATTGCTACATCTGATCAGGTGCCAATCATTCATAAAATTGGAAATAAATAGTGTAAGAAATTTGCTCTATCAAGCTGTTGTACACGAAAATAAATAATGGATTGCACTTAACAAATAACAATTGCACTAATGTGTGCTGCTTACGGTCTGGCACCTGATTGCTACCTTTTCATAACATCCCGGTCTCACCGATGTGCTGTACCCTGAAATATGAAGAAAATAACAAAATACAGGCAGAGGGCAGAGACTATGCATATAAATATACTGCCGCACACTTCTAGTTAGTCATACGTGATGAGTAAGAGGGATTATACATTATCTTTGCTTGTTTGTTTGTTTTGTTAAGGCAAATCCTGCATAGTGCACCTTTAAAATACAAATACCAAAAATAGCATTGCTCTACAGTAAACCAAAACTGGCTTGTTGCAGTTATATGCTATCTTCATTGAAACCAGTAAGCTTATGTCTTATGTGTTGAATATCAATGTGCCTTTACTGCTCCAGCTGTCTTTTACCAGTTTTGTGAACCTAGAAATCATTTGATCCATCTGTAGATTTTGGGACACTCCTGTGGTCAAGTCTTCCAGCCGTGAGCTTTGCTACATCATCCTGGCTGGAATATGTCTGGGCTACCTGTGCACCTTCAGCCTGATTGCCAAGCCCCACATAGTCTACTGCTACCTCCAGCGGCTGGGAATCGGCCTGTCCCCTGCCATGAGCTACTCTGCGCTGGTCACCAAGGTACTTCATTTTCTGTTTTGTTGCCAGTAGGTTAAGGAACAAACATACTCTGTTCAAGTAGTACAGTTATTGTCACATGTCACTTCCACCACCATCTTGCTGTGATATCAGATTTTTCTGTCAAATGCTAAAATGCAGGACTATTCCATACAGTAAAAACCCTCCATTTAAAGATCTGAGATTTAAAATTCTCAGTTTCTCCCATTGTTTGACACACTTCCATGTGAAACTCGATGTTGGGATTGATATGCACTTGAATAGAAGGTCAACAGAGCAAAACTGCTAAATGTACAGTAAAAGTAGCTGACGGAGATCACTCAGTTCTTCTATCACACCTCACATGTTGGAGCTTTTGGCAGAGAAGAGTGCTGCCAGTAATGTTGCAAACTCGCACATTTGATCAGACAACTTGTCTACTATCATAGTCCAATTTTGTTTTTAGAATAAATAGAGGGGCATCTAAGGATAAGGGCGAGAGTAAAAGAGCTACCTCCAGAGGTTGGCTGGTGGCCAATTTTTAGGGAGGTACGGTAGATGTTTGGGATCTGTGTGTGGGCTGAGGTTGATGTTTAAGATCTGGAAACTGAAAAGGAGATTATTGTTATGAATCAGTGCGAGCAGTATTATCTACAGCCGATGAAAGTAAAGCCTGCATAACCATTTGATCTATTTTTGATCCAGACCAACCGTATAGCACGGATCCTGGCAGGCAGCAAGAAGAAGATCTGCACCAAGAAACCGCGCTTTATGTCCGCCTGCGCACAATTGGTCATCGCCTTCCTACTCATACTGCTGCAGCTTGGGATTATTGTGGCACTTCTTATCATAGAGCCACCACAGGTATCTATGTGTGTGTGCATGTGTGTGTGTGTTTCTTTGTGTGTTTCTGTGTTGCAGTGTGGGCGATGTTGATTTACATTTATTTATACAACTACATTGACCTCTCCCTTTTTCTCATCTCCTAGGTGATCTATGACTACCCCAGTATTCGTGAAGTACACTTGATCTGCAACTTGACCACTCTGGGGGTGGTGGCGCCCCTGGGCTACAATGGTCTACTTATCCTGAGCTGCACCTTCTACGCCTTCAAGGTACCTCAGCATAGCATTAGTTAAAGGAATACTTCACCCACAAAACAACCATTTGTGTAACAATTACTCACCGTGTGTTGCCTTGAATTCGTGAAGAAAACGTTGTTTTTCTTGCATGCTGCCACAGTGAACAGAGAATCAAAAAAGGCAAACATCATTCATGAACTCAAGTAACGGGAACTGCATTTAACAAACAGCAAAACTATATAAAAAAACATGTGTTTACAAACTCTCACACAACTCATGCAGTATAATCCAGGTTTCATTTATCCAGTCTTGTGCTCATGATTTAAAACATGTCAGTACAAACACTCTTATGCATGGCCAAGTAGCGTACCTGGGCATGCACATGCATTTGAACACTGCTCAAGCAGAGCTCATGTACATGTACGTGTCCAAGGCCACGTAGGGTGCTCCAGCTGTAGATGGAAGTGCTCTGTATTCTAACGTTTTGGCAGTATGCATGTATTCGGTAAGCACTGAGAATACAACTGAATAAATGACACATCGATTATACTGCAAAAGTTGTGTGACATTTCTTAACATTTTGATTTTTTAATATGGTTTTGTTGTTGTTAAAGCTGCTCCCTATTGACGTCAATTCATGAATGTTCACTTCTTTGGATTCTCCATTCACTTTGGAGGCATTCAAGAAAAACAAGGTTTTCTTTACAAAATCAAGGTATCACAGAGTGAGTCACTGATTTTCAAATGGTCATTTTGTGGGCGAGTAACACACATTGTACTTTTTCTATCAGGTTTACAGTTTTCTTCCTGTCCTCTGTACTGCAATTTACACTGCTTTAAAAATTCTACTCTTCTTTTTGTCCTACAGACTCGTAATGTTCCGGCTAATTTTAACGAGGCCAAGTATATTGCCTTTACCATGTACACCACCTGCATCATCTGGCTGGCCTTCGTTCCTATTTACTTTGGCTCCAACTACAAGATCATAACCATGTGCTTTAGTGTCAGCCTCAGTGCCACAGTGGCTCTCTGCTGCATGTTTGTACCAAAGGTAAGAAATTGAAATACGTATTCACACAATTATAATAATGTTCAGTCTTTTTTGTTGTCTAATTTTTGTATCATAAATCTTTATGCTAACAGTTATTTTGTTGTCCATTTTCACAATCAGGTGTACATCATGCTTGCCAAGCCCGAGAAGAATGTCCGGAGTGCTTTCACAACATCGACAGTGGTGCGCATGCACGTAGGTGATGCCAAGAAAGCTGCTAAGACTGGCAAATCCTCTAGCAGCATGGCCAACCTGTTCCGACGCCGTGGCTCTGCGCAGGACAACATCAGGTATATGAGGAACCTGAGTGGGTATTAAGCTATGAATAAATTTACTCCCCAGCACCTGAGCCCAGTTGCATAAGCATCTTAAAGGAATACTTCATTCCCCAAATATTTATTTGCATATCAATTTGTCACCCTGTGTTACCTTGAATTCAGGATGAAAACTTTGTTTTGCTCGCACAGCTCCACCGTAAACGAAGAATCCAGAAACAGAGAAAATACTTTATGAATCAGAGTATAAAGAGGCTGCGTTTAACAACAGCAAACTCTTACAATGCAGTATAATCTGACGGATGTTGTATATAGTTTTGTTGTTCTTTAACGCAGATCCCTTTACTTTACTTCAATTCAGTTCTCAGCTCAGGTCTCACGTCCCCCCTGTCACTTTGGTGACCCCTAATGTGAGTCAGGCCCCCAAGGCTGGGAACCACTGATTCGCGGGTGGTGAAATATTTGTTTAAAAAAGCATTTCCTCAACCTCCTGAGACCCTAAGTCCTCATATGAGGACATTACATTTTGGGTTTACTGGACCTTATACGTCATTCTGCTTAATTTAGACCTCTCGTCCTCATTCATGGACACTTTTGTGCCATGTAGTGGTAGTAAGAGCACAATACATTAATCTATGTAAAAACAAGATGGCAGTTATCTCTGCCAATCAGTCTGCAGCCGATCCCGACACAAAAATGGACAAGGTCCAAAACCTGATCAAATTTAATGGTTGAAACTTGTTTATTTATGATTTATAACATTTATAGTCAGATATGCCATACAAATTTGACCAACAGTAACAAGCTAAGACGGTGTTAATTAAAAGGTACTTGTCTGCAGACACTGGGAATTTTTCATCAGCTCATTGAAGGATATTGGGACTTTATTTGTTTATTCATTATTGTTGACAGTGTTTCTTTTTTTTATAGTTATCAGGTCCTACTAATGCCATATAGCTAGGAAAAACTGAAAATGCATACCAAACAGGAGGTTAAAGTTATTCCTATTATGTTTCTATAAAAAAGAGCATATAATGTATGTTGTATATGCTGCATTTTGATGCTCTTAAATTACGTTTCCCCTGCATGTCACCAGCAACTAAACTAAGGGAAAATACTTAAAATACAAATCTCATTTTCTTTTTTTGCCATTGATATCTATTTAAAAATGTAGCAAAAGATTGCTCTGAGATAGTCATACATCCTATGAAGACCATATCATATTACTTCTTGCCTCCGCCACTCCATTAAACTGGATGATCCATCACATAATTACTTTGTAATATAATCACATCATCTTTTGGAATATTCGTCAAACAACAATTTTGCTTCATTTTTTGCTGATCTATGTCAGATCTAGTTAATAATCATATTATATACTTTACCTTATGTATGGATTTTGTTAATAATAGCCTAGAGTACAAAGGATAGTTCAGCGAAAAGAGGCTAAGAGGGGAAAGCTGCAGGCGGGTGGGACATGGCAGACATGGCAGAGAAACCACCTTCTTGGCTTATCATCAGGCATCTAAACTACTCTCCTTACAGCCACATGCTTTAGTTGTTTCTGTCAGTGAGTCCATGTATACAGATGGCAACTCTGCTGAGATATTTCCAAAAACACTACTATGCCTTTTCCTCCTTAAACTGTCTTAAATAAATCAGAACTGAATCCAATCCGACAGGCTGGATACGCCAAGAAAACTGTTCCCCGAGCTGAGACAAGGCTTCCTCATTTGGGTTAAGTACTCCCGAAGGAGACCCACTGCCTTTAAGGATTTCTCTTTCTAGGGAAGATAAAAAGAAAATGGAGGGAGATGTAAAATTACACAGACAGCAAAAGATAGAACGGGGGATGGTAGAAATACCAACATGAAGAAGTAGAACACTGAGATGTGCAGTCTTACACTGTGGATCTGTCATATTTCTTATCCCTTTATAATAAATGTAAACAAACTTTATGTCTTTTATGTGTTTTCAGTTCCAATGGGAAATCAGTGACATGGGCGCAGAGCGAGCAGGCCTACAGACCAAACATATGGAAGAGGATGTCATTTCATGTCAAGAAAAAGGTACCAGTGGAGGTGAACCAGACAGCCATCATCAAGCCGTTCTCTAAAGGAGGAGGTACACCTGGGGACGCTGGTGTCAAAGAGCAATACGAGGAGCAACAGGTGTCTCAGCCCTTCGACTGCTCCCCCTCTCAGTCACCAAGGAGTTTCCAGGGAGGAGAGGCTGGAGAGGAGGGACAGGATTTACCCACGTTCGTACCTGAGCACCCAGGTGGAGTGAGAAGAAGAGCTGGGGATAATGGCCAGGGTGTCGGGATGGTGGATGGTGGGGACATAAGCGTCATAGGTGTGGGTGACATCGGCATAGGCATGATTGGCAGCCAAGGTCAGGGCACGACTATCATGGACCAAATCAGCTGCGTGGTTAACCGCTTCACTGCCAACATCAGCGAGCTGAACACCATGATGCTGCCAGGGGGAGTCACCGTCAGCCCCACGTCCACCACTGCTCTGTCTACAGCTGCAGACGCCTCCCCCTGCCCACCTCAGTACCTCACACCCAGGAGCAGGCAGGCCCCCTCCACTGTCACCACATACGCCGAGGTCGCAGCCGTCTCCAATTTCTGCGAGAATCGACCAGCAGGTAAGATTTACGAACACCTGGCTGGGACTTGTGTGAGTAGCAGGCGAGCCAAGGATATGGAGGAGCTGGTGGCTCTGACGCCTCCCTCCCCATTTAGAGACTCATCTCTGAGCTCCAGCGGCAGCTCACTGCCCTCTGAGGCTGAATATGGCCAGCTGCTGCTGAGACACTACAGTCAGAGCTCCTCCTCTCTCTAAACCTGCTCTCTGTACACCTTGTTCTCCTTGGTTATCATCCATTTGGAGTATTTTAAACCCCAAAAGACAGAGCGTCACACTGGACCAAACTCTTGGATGCCTTTCTACATGTGGATTATTGAGCAGTGTTTAAAATGTACTTTCATTTTCAGATTGGATTGAGTGCACCCATACATTCCCTCAATGAGAGGACTGAAAGAGACATACCAGTGGCAAGACTGCAAATGCTAAACGCTGAAAATAAGCTGAGCAGTGTCAGTGCTTCATCGTTTGTCTCCAAGTGAGTAAAACACTTGACAAACTGAAACACACATACGGGCATTTTACAGAGTTCTGAATGCTATACTAACAAACACAGGTCTATTACTTTTCAAATTCCAAAGAAAATACTGATAAGCTGAGAAAACAAATGTAAAATCACTTATTTACTTCATTATAAAATGGTTATGAAACAGTGAGGAAAATTAACCAAATATTTATGTTCAGTGTTTCTTTGGATTATGCCAAAATGGCTCTTATACTGAATCTCAAAATGGCATTTGATTTTTGTAGGTAAATGTAGGTATTATAACATTTAAGATAGTTGTATTTCAGTTGTATATTTTGCATCACATATAATCATAAACACAGAAAGTGTGATTTTTTTTCTGATTTCTTACTGTATATTATTGCTGTTTCTGTACATCTGATGTTTTTTCTTCACTGACAAATTGCCCTAATCTTTAATATTTTGAGACCCAGGTGGATGCAGATTGTATCAGCATGACGGCATCTGTCCAGAAGAAAATAGCTCAAATAACTTTGCCTGAAATGAAAAGGTCAAACACGACTCATTTTTTCTGCCCTCTAATTAGTTGTCAAGTCTGGAAGGCATAAGCGAGCATTTTGTATCCGGATGCTAGAGGAGAAAGATGCCGCATTATGTGAATCAGGAAGCAGGTGTTTCTGTGTAGGGGAGTACAATGACCTTCCCTTTTCTTGGAAACAAAACATTTACTAAGAATGAACCCCCCTCCCATCCTGAGAGGACTGGAGCTCTTTGCATCTCAAGGAAATGTAAGACATTTTCTCAATGGACATCATCAGTTGTCAAACCCACAAAGAGCTCACGGACTACCTGGATGTCTTCTTTAATTCTTTTCTCTAGATGTGACTTAGCTGAATGTATTTGATAATCTGAAGCGGACCAAAACAATCTTCCACCTCAGGATGTGTCCGAACCAAAATACTTTCTGACATCGACTCCAACCTGCTGAACGAGCGCTGTCATCTGTTGGCTCGAAAAACGTTTCCAGTTTGCATGATGTCAAGATTTGGTTGCACTCTTTAAGTTATATTTGTAATGAATTACCTTTTTTGATATTGTACATGTGAAACCAATACGATGAATAGATACAGTAGCAAAGTAATGATACTATCAGTGTGTTAATGTGTTTTTAAGAGTCATTTTAGGAGGAGAGAAGGGAACTGAAAGTGTGCTTCATTTTCTAGACATCTATTGCAAAACAGTTGTTTCTAGCCTGGCTTTTTACCTACATGTATGTGCCAACGTCTCCCTGCAGTAAATGGCATTGTGTTTCTATAAATGGGCTCATGTATCAGGTGTTAAAAGGAGGATTTTTTATAATATTTCATGACATTTTTGACTATGTTGTTTCTTATGCTTGAGCATATTCAATGAATCTTTTCTTTTTTTGTATCTGCATTTTGGCCTCTCTGAGGATCTCGATGAATGACAGTGTGGATTGACAGGCGAGCAGATGATAATGTTCATGTGGGAGCTAGCTTATGCTTGTTTATCAGATTTATTTATTTTTTTTCTTTTAAGTCTGGCTTCTGTCCATCAGTCTTTATTTTATTTTTTTTTCTGAATGTTTACACAGACGGGAATGTGTTAATGCTTTTTGAAATGTGCAGTGTTTTTCTACTGACTTTGGATGTAAAAAAAAAACATCTTAGACAATTGCCATATTTGCATGCAGGTTTGTGCCAATTTTGCAGGTGTTTACTACACATTAAGCCAATAATTCACTGATATAATCTGCAGACGACGTTTGTCTTGGTCTTATTTCTTCCTCTGCCTTTGAAATAGCCAGAATTTACAATTTAGACTTGTGCTGCATTAAAGGTTTCCATCCAAATTCCAATTCACATTTGTGCATTTCATTCATTTTTGTATGTAATTCACTGTAAATTTACACCATAGGGACACTTCATTCACATTATAGAACTTCTACATCCCAATTATAGGAAAAATACTTAACCTTAATATTTAAAAATCAAAAGTATATATATGGAAGAAAATGTCTCAAAGTGACTTTTAAATGACACTAAAAAATCCAAATTTTTCATGCTGTCACGTTTGAAGGAGTCACGTGTCTTGTTAATACTAGAAACTGGATCATGTGTGGTGTTATTTTTACACCTCCTACGTCGATGTTACTTATGAACCCTCTCTAAATAAGATAAGAATAATTGTGTCAAATCACAGTGCGATAATTAATAAACCTAATGGGAAATAGGGTTTCTGGGGCACTCTTTATTAAATAACATGTGATATAATTTCCTATGCCGTGTTTTGTTCAGTGAAATTAACATTCACAAGATCGTGGGCAAAGTTTATAGTTAGAGCGTAATAGCTTTGATGAGCACAGGGAGAGAACAAGGCCTCAGCGGACCAACCCGTTGTTTATCCTTGAAATCTGGTGGTGGCTTGAAGTGATGGGGGTTGGGTTTGCAGGAACATAGAAAAAAATCACAGCCTTACTCATCTCTGACTTAGTATAGCATGTATGTGTCATTAAAGGCAACAGGAAACCACCAGTTCAGCATCATTGCTTCTATTTTTTGTCCAGCAGTGGTGTGTGGTCCATGATAGAGGGAAAATGGGGGAACAAAAACACTGAGCCCCTCATTCACACCTGAAGTTGCACAGAGGCAAGAAGTAAATGGTTGTCAGTGGAGCTATAGCTAAGTGAGAAACACTTTGTATGACGTAATAGCCATTGTGTTGATTCCTAAAAAGAGCAAATACAATTTACAATTGCCCCAAAACAGCTAAATATGTAAATGAAACAAGGTTGCAAACCTGGCTGAAGATATGGATTGTTGTTGGTTTCAAGTCTGTTTTCATATAGGCTATACAACTTATTTGCTTTTCAGTTTACAGTTAATTACAAGGACATTTTTGGTCAGAGCTAAAGGGAAAATAAATTACGAAAAATCTAAAAGATATAAGCTACCAATACATTTGCAGCATTATAAAGAAAGAAGAATAATAAATAAACAGTTGAAGAGATGTGGGCTAACAAATAGGTTTTTTTATATTGATAATTGTTTTTCTTTTATTGAGTGAGCATGATTCTGAATATAATACAGTTTGCTTTTAATGTGTAACATAATCATTGTTTCTTCTTCTTCTTCTTCCTAAAAATGTCACGATTTACTCCTGTTTGTTACTCATCCAATGTACTCATCCACAAATACAATGCAGTCATATACAGTTGTCATCACATGAGATGTTAAATCCTCACTCACACAAGCTGATACATACTTATCGCATACTGGCACACACACAGACACCCACTCAAAACACATACACATACACCCCTATCTGCCCACCCACCCCCAGACACACATGCACACACATCAGACAAAACAGGCGGTTACACAGGGTTCCTTAGAGTTTATAGATGCTGGGTGATTTTGCGACTCCATTTAATCTACAGAGCTTCAGAGACTGAGCTCCATATCTTATCAAATAGTTTCTCTGTGTTGGTGTCTTCGGACACTGTCCTTTCAATGCACAGATAATATTTCATTAAGGTTTTCCAGTTGTGCAAATAGGAGGTAATAACTACTAAGTTCTAATAGCTCATACACTGTACACATTTTTATACATGAAGACGATTGAGTCTTATTTGAATCCATCTGTCTGTGTGAATGCACTCAAACTCAGTACTCTGTGATGGAGCTGGGAGATATGACAGCTAATACCAGGTCTGGGGTCTGTTGAGAGAAGCAGGTGTACTGCCTTATTTCTATATGTGTGCTGGGTGGTGTATGTTCCACACTTCATGCAGTTCTGCTTTTTCTCAGAATAGTTATTCTGATATCTTAATAAATAAGCTTCTCTGAACATGGTTCATGGGCTTATGTAGACTTTCATATACTGTAGGTGGGCAAAAAAGGGTCTGCTGTGTGTATTTTGGTTTCATTTAATATGTTTGTGTCACACAATTATCCAATTAAAGCCAAAACCAGAAAAAGGTATCAATCTGATTAGGGTGAGCTAATATTACAGCATAGCATTCACATTATATCCCTGTTTTCCTGCTGCATTCAACCTCAAACCAACTCTTTTTGTCATGGTGGTATCGTGGTTTACCCTTATGGTTTGAGTTTGTGATAATATGACAATGCATCTATTATTTATTGAGACATTCTTTTAACAGTAGCACCAACATTGTAGAGCATGCCCAAAGAGAAACGCACATCACTGTATAAGTTACAACCTGAGGCACTGGTAGTTTGACTACATTTATAAACGGTGATGAGACAATGGAGGAGACATAATCAATTGCCTTTTCAGTGGCATGTTTGATTGTTGGAAATGCCTGATACAGCATTTGGATGTGCTGCTAAATGTGGGGAAAGAGTATAAGGATTTTTACATAATCAATATGCCTTTAAATACTAGGACTAAAGTGGAAGCACTCTGTCTTAATATACAATTACAAAAGCACACTTTCTCCTGCTAGTTGTGTATTAAAATAATCTAAAAACAGTTTTTAAATGAACATTTTTCAAAGACTGCCTTAACTGCATTATAGGACTGTATTTTTGAGCTGCATCTAAACAGACATTTACATAAGGAGGCAACTGTTCCGCAGCACACAAATAGTTCAAATATGCCAAATGTTAGTTACATAAATTGGCACTTTATTGCACTAGAGACTTACACAGCCTTCTACCAGGAACTACTGCGTTGCGCCCTCAGTGAAGCGTGCGCACTTTTCGTCTCCACAGGGTGACGAGGCGAGGTCACAAGTTCCCAAGCTCAGCCCCTGAGCAGATCACACACTTCCCCACAGGGAGGGCGGTTCCTGCACCCATAAGAAGAGGGAGACACACGGGATCAGGGGGGACGAAGTCTGAAACTGCAGTTATACCGAGTCAAAGTTGCTGAAAGCTGCTGCGTCAGTGAGATCGGACAAGTGGAATGACCAATCACTCATCACACTGTAACGGCATGCAGAGCCTCCGGAAGGAGCACCTGTACAAGGTGCTGGTTATCGGAGACCTGGGGGTAGGGAAGACCTCTATCATCAGGCGGTATGTCCACCAGACCTACTCCACCAACTACCGGGCCACCATCGGGGTGGACTTCGCCCTGAAGGTGTTGAACTGGGACTCTGAGACTGTGCGGCTCCAGCTCTGGGACATTGCAGGTGGGACAGTGAAGAGTTAAAATATGTTCAATGTATTTTATTTGCATTATATAATCTATCATTACAATGCAAACCCATGATAAATTGCCTCCAGGTCATCTGCAGGATCCAATACAGCTCACTGATGAGTTGAATTCACAAGGGTGTGGGGTGTTTTTGGGGTTGGGTGAGGAGGGGAGGGGTGCACTTATGAAACAAAATTTAATTTCCTGCATTCTGGTGAATTATTATGCATCAGCTTGTGTCTCTTCTGCACCAATTTATGGTGTAGACTAAAAATCCTAACTTTATTCAAAATAAAAGAATTTCCTGCTTTTATTCGGGTGGACACATGGACATGTTTTAATTTTTTTTTAAGAGCATCACCTCCCCTCAAACTGTGCAAGAAGTTGCCCTCTCATAAAGCCTACTCATTGAAAAAACATTGTAGGCATACTGGTATTTAGCAAGGCTGATTGTCATAGTTCCTGAAAAGTTGATGATTTGGGGAAATAGGACTTATCTTCAAATTAACAGTGAAGCATGACTGTTGTAAAGTTATGAAACATCACAGGTCAAAGATGCACTGTCACTGTGGAGAGCTGGTGACTGACACAAAGAGTATTCTCTCTGTCTCTCATACAGACACACACATGCACACTAGTGATGGGCAAGCTGTTCTTTTCAATGAACTGAATCACTCAAATCTGTTCATTCAAAAGACTTGTTTACTGAATTGTTTGGTGCTTGACTAGATCTCACTGAACTGTAACACAGCTGAAGATTCACTTCAACTTGTTATCTAGTGAAGTGAAAACAGACACTTTGGTTAAAGATACTGTTTGCAAACTGAAAGCTGAAGTCCTACCCAATGATCCACAGCATGTACATTTTGGTTAACTATTAAAAACATTTAGTAGTACTTCCTCCTTTGAACCATAAAGACATGAGAGGGAAGAAGAGGGGCGGATCGGGCAATTCAGTGACTCACTCGGGGCTGGAAGTCACTGTGTGGTACACTCAGTGACTGAATCACCAAACAGTCCTTGAATGTTTGCTAGCAACTAATTGAGAGCTCTACTAAGAAATGAACAGATCATTTTAGGAAGTGATTAGGTTCATTTCTGTCACACCTCATACCACACAACATGGACACATTTGAACACTGGAAAATCTTTCAAATAAAATTAACAGATACATGGATAGGATGGATAAGAGTAAAGTATAACATGGTGTCACTGCAGTGATTCTGTCTGACTTCTCCTCCTGACCTCCTCTATATAGACGTACCGCCTAAAATGGATAGAAAACTTCAGATTAGTACATTTTAAATGTAGCAAACCAAACTCAAAAGGTGGTATATGGATTCTAATTAAGTATTTCTTCTGATTAAAATCTTTTCTACTTTGAGATAGAGGACCTGACCTGTGGATGAAGTGTGTGCAGCCATGCTAACAGCTCTGCAAGGCTGCACTTGGGCACAGTGGTGATTTGAGTTACATGTCAACATGCCCACAATGACAGTGTTGCTCAGGGAGGACCAGCACGCTGTCATCCAGTCATTCATTTAAGATATGGAGCAACATCATGTGATTAGGCCCATGTGAGGGAGATTTAAAGGCCAGTCACAGGAGTGTCATTGTAGCTAAATAAAAAACAAACATCATTAGTCACTGACACACACACACACACATGCAGGCACATGCTTCAAGAGGTCAAATGCAATTACAAGTCACATCTGATTAGTCGTGTCTACCTGCTTGAAAGTCATGCTAGGTAGGAGTAGGGATTGGCTGAGTAGGGGCTAAGACATTGTGGTTTGTTTGTTATAATCTATGTAAGGGTAAATTTTACATGTTGTACTTTGAAGCTATGGAAAGCTGTAGATTGTGCCATCAGTTTATTGAATGACAGAGTGTCAAGTGACATGTTTGACGTGTGTATCTGTCTGTGACACCACTGCACATGAGGGTTCATGTGAGTAATGAAAGTCATTGATACATTCTCTCGAACGAAAGGAGGAAGTTCTCAATCCACGTCCTGTCAGATTGTCCATTTCCTCTTACTCCTGAGGCAAACAGCAGCTTTTTGTCCTTGTCAGAGTGATTCTACCAAAAAAGGACTCCCACGCATTAATATTTATTAAGCATGTAAACTTTTCTGCTGAGAGGGCATGGTATGTAAAACAAGCAGGATGCACACACCTACACGCTCAGTGTTTTTTTGACCAACAAGTACACACATTAGACAGCAGACAGCCGATCACACACCCCCGGGGAATGTCATGTTGACAGCTCTTCTAACCTGCTCCTCAAGCACCCAGTTTCCTTTCTCTGCACAGTACACAAGCATGGATCAACACACATGCATGCAGACCTGCACACAGACGTTTAACATGCTTATATTCTTACAGACATATTATATGAATGGTGTAATAGTCTGGGTCAGTTTTCATTACAGGTTGGGCAAAATGGCAGGTTTAATTTAAGTAGGCCTATTATCAGCAGGAACAAGCAGTCGCATTGACCGTCTGGTTAAGTGCAACGTGACAGTAAGACCACAGGAATGTGCTGTTTCATAGGAATGCAGGCTCTGCTAACTGCAGTCCTAATACCAGCTGTATGAGCTGTTCTGCCTCGAAAATGCAGGAAAACAATAAGAATCTGTCATCAAACTGATGGCTGGGAACAACAGTGTTGCCACACTAATGAATGAAGCTCCCTATGTGTGTGTGTGTGCTTTTGTTTCTTCATCGAAGGTCAGGAACGTTTCGGAAACATGACACGTGTGTACTACCGTGAAGCCATGGGAGCCTTCATAGTGTTCGATGTGACACGAGCCACGACCTTTGAGGCCGTCATCAAGTGGAAGGAGGACCTGGACTCCAAACTAATGCTGACTAATGGACAGAGTATTGCCACCGTGCTGCTGGCTAACAAGTGTGACCAGGGCAGGGAGCTGACCAACAACGGCATCAAAATGGACCAGTTCTGCAAGGACCACGGCTTCGTCGGGTGGTTTGAGACCTCAGCTAAGGTGAGACCAGAGTAAGGTTAAGGTATTCTTGTTTGCCAGTCATTTGCAATGCATGAGGTAAAATTTATGCCTGTCCAACCTGGGGCATTTGTACTCACTGAGACTTAGCTGAGAAGATTGATCTCACTCTCGTATCTGTCGGGTAAATATGAAACTGGAGATGATTAGCTTAGCATAGCGACTGGAAATACCATGTTATAGCCATTCATTCAGAGAACCATCTTACAGTGGGATCACTCCAGCCACGATACAGCTATTCGCGATTTATAGCAAATGCTAAACCGGGGCGTAAAGTGAGGAGGGATAATGGTCCTTCCCTGCTTCCTAGCCCCCTACTTTCTGGCACCCTTGCTTGGACCACACCCATCTTTGAACTCCGCCTTCAGTTCAAACTCAACTACATACATGTAAAGTTTTGTGACTCTGTCTTGAACAGTTGCGATGTGTGATAGACAGACAGACTTATAAACACCTGCCAAAATACCCACCAGGGTCAGGACCACATTTTCCATGATGACACACACTCACACAGACTCACAAGGTAAAAACAATACCAGCCGTCACACCATTTTCACAGCTGGTAAATACCTACAGTGTAAATTATTGAGCTTTAGAGGTGCTGGAAGGCAAATTTGATATTAAGCTAAGCTAACTGGCTTCTAGCTTCACATTTAAGAGACAGACATAAGGGTGATATCAATCTTCTTATATAACCCTCAGCAAAAATGCAATTAGGCATATTTCTCAAAATGCTGCAGTATTAATTAATCATCAACATGATAATGAATGGGCCAGATTGTCGGCCTTTGCAGTGAGCGGCTGACAAGCTCAGTGGAAATCGTCTCCCACTCAGGTCACTTCAGTCAGAGAAAAACATCCCCTCAGAGCCAACTGGAATTTCATATCCTCGTGGAAAGTGGCTCTGTGAGATAAATTTACTAAGCAGGGTCAAAACAAGTGAAAAGTTAAAAGCGTTAGAGGATTGTCAGCTGTTTTTTTTTTTTCTGCCTGTCTTTTTGCAAGCCAAGTAAAATTATTTAATCATTTTTTTCCTACAGTAGATTCAAAGTAACATAAAAACTATTTGACCACATCACATAAAAAAATTGTATCTGCTTAATCCCACATGTCATTGGAGCTTTATTAAACTTTTGTAGGTTGAAATTTTAAGATATCATGTTTTCTTATGTCAGTAAGAGAATCAATTTGAATCGTTTTGTGCATCACATATTTTCCCATGGTTCTTGCGGTATGCTCAGAAACACTGGGATCTTTGAAATATAGCTATGTGGGGTTGAGCAAGTCTTTTCTGTACAGTATGTGTCTGCAAGGATCGACCTGCCAGATGTATCTTGTGATGCATGACAGTTTCAATTAACCCCCTTACATACACTAACCCAAAAACTCTGCAGCACTTGCACATAGCTTTAAATTCTCCAAAAGCTGTCTTCATTCACACATGCTCCGTTGACACCAGTGTGTTGGACCGGCAGTGGTGCGCTGCCATTCTTATGGCGTCAAGACTCAACATTCTGAAAGGTTGAAGGTTATATGGCGCAGGTTCAACCAGGAGTGTCAGAAGTAGGCTATGCAAACAAACACACACATTCTTGGTAGCAGTAGGAAAATGTTTACAGTATTTGTTTGAAGTAGTTTAAAGCACCTAAATGGTGTTGTTCACACGAAGGTGATAGCATGCTAGTTAGCCACATTTTGAACATGCTGTAGGCTAACTACTGTTAATACACAGGATGTTCACTGTAAGGCAGATGTGTTTAGGCTTAAAACTTAAGAAAATAAACCATACAGATCGAACATTATGGAGCCATAGCTAACAGTTTTCTCGCCCTTTTAGGACAACCTCAACATCGGTGAAGCTGCAAACTTCCTGGTAAAGCACATCATGGCCACAGAGAATGACATTCTGAAAAGTGTAATACCAGACACCATCTCGCCACAGCTCGACTCCAACAGGCAGATGAGCTGCTCCGGCTGCTGGAAGTAATCAAAGGACGGAGTGATGGCAGGACAGAACAGAATGGAGACACAGTGGGACAAAGAGGGACAGGCACACCACAAGGAAACGGCACAGTACGGCATCTTTGGTCCAAACTAGAGTTGAAGATTTTAGTTTGGTGCGTGTTTGTGTTCTTAGTGTCCAACTACAGGAGAACCAAAGCTTGAAAACAAAAATCACATGGACTCAGAAGTTGAACATTTATTGAACAGAGCTTTGGTAACTCATCATACTGTGAGTTTGAAGTACTTGGCAGATCAACAAGTATAACTTGTCTATGCTCCTTGGCGTGATTATTCGAAGTATGTAACAGCCAAACTTTCTTTTTGGGACTGTTCTTTTTAGCTGGTCAAGGTTACATTCTCTTCTACCAACAGTTTACTTGGAAAAGGACTAGTGACTGGCACTCAACCTGCTGGACCAAACTACAAATGGACTAAATGCTCCCAGCAAACTTGATGCAACACACCCAAAGCTGGGCTGTGATTACAGAAGGAAAACAGGAGTGCTGTTAACAGTTCTTCACCATTTCAAGCAAGTGTAATTTTGTTGCTGTTCTCCCTCTATTTACCTTCACCTCCAACTTTGTGGAGAAAACAATGGGTATGTTTACATGCACACTAATATTCCACTTTTATTCTGAGTATGATAATATTATGATTTTGATACGGTTCATGCAAACAGCATATACGTTTTGGCCTTTTTACAAATGAAGTATTTTCCGATTAAGACTTATTGGATTTGCCAAGTTATTCAGGTTTTAATAGCATTCTTTGGGCATGTATACAGTGCATTCTGTATATGCATCTCAGTTGGGGATTTTATCACAGTTTGTGACACACGTCCTCTTGTCTGTTTACGATCGGCTATGTGCCTTGTCACGGATGCGCTGTACACAAACCAACTAGCCCACAGTTTGCAAGGCTGCAGATAAGATGCATGCCCAGGACAAGTCCACATTTCTAGTGTGAAGGACAAACACACCTACTTTTAAACATTATATACTAAGACTTGGATATCAGTTTTTTGAATATGCTCAAATATCATAATGCCAACCTTTTCAAGAAGGTAGTTGAAGGAATTAAAGAGGAAAGCTGTGGTCACACGCTCGAACAAGTCCTCCACGAGTGGAAAACTTTGTAAAAGTCCTGGCACAAGTGACAGCCATTCAACATTTTCACAATTAGACGTGATAAATGACTTGTTAGGCCGCGTTAGTCAGAGTATGCATGGCTGCAAATAAACAAGAATATTAATGGAATATTCTGGGGTTGCATGATAATATTGGCACGTCATCAGTATCGGCCGATATTGGCTTTAAAATTAAGTATCAGAATCGGCCAACATGCTTTTTCTTAATATGCACAATGAATGAATATTACATATATTAAAAAGCATTGTACTTCATATCTCCATCTGCTGGTGGACCATCATGATAATAATAGACAGGGATAATATGATATTAATTCCACTACAGAGGAGACTGGATGATCACTAAAATTAGGTAGAAGATATTGATATCAGTTATCGGTCAAAAAAGTTGTTGGATATTTGCAAAAAATCCAATGTTGTTCATCCCTATGATATTCATTTTCATTAGACATATAAAGAGCTTAGTAGGCATATTGTCATTTTCAGAATAAGGGCAAAAAAATGTATATATTTTATGCGTGTAAACATAGTCAGTGTAGCTTCCTTTACCGTTATTCTGCAAGAGCCAAAGAAAGCAGTATTGACCACTTTCAGTGGATCCCACATTGTGTAATTATGTGAATTTTGCAAATACATAGATTTTTTTTAATAATGATTTTAAGTTATTTACAGTATTCTTTTATGAGTGTTATGCTGGTCTAATGTATGATGTTATTCTGCTTAAAATCTTTCCCACAACTGACTATTGTGTGAGCCTTATTTAATCAGGCAAGTTAAGTCACAACACATTTAGAACAACAACTTGGTCAGCTGCGAGGGAGAGTTAAATGCTTAGACACACAAACATCCTTGAGCTTGCTTAGCGTAACTCTTTCATAGCCAGTGGACACTTCCGCTGGAGCATGTCAGGTTGAAGTGATCAAAGGTTTGTCAAACATGTTTGTTTGTTAATGGAAGAAAGTGGCTGTTCATCTGTCTACATCTGGATTTATTTTCACCAGAACTGGTTAGTTTGTGCATGTGTGTTACTTTTCTTTACCAGAAGGAAGATTGTGTTGATTGTCTGGATGCAAACTGGACACTCTCATGAGTTCACTTTCCAAAGCCTAACCCTCTGTATCCATGGTAACTAGATCATTTTTATGGGTATCCTCTAACATCCGTGTGAAGCTATTTCTTGCTGTACTCACAACCGTACAGGCACACACACACATACACACTTATGCACACAGACTCTTTCTCTCTCCATGTTCTTGTTCCTTTTTTTACCTCATCTTTCCTCCTTCTCCACTCCATCCTTGGTTATTGTTTCTCATCCTGAAAAATTCTCTGTCTCTCTCCCTGAATATGGCTGATTCCACTGTCTTTATTCATTATGTCCAATGCCCCTCTTCTCCCTACTTTCTCTCATTCTCGGATTCACATACAGTATGTACAGCACATTATATAATCCTGCACAGACTCGACTGTACACCCAGAGAAGCAATGCTTTTATTGATCCTTTCTGTGAAGTACAGTCAGTGTTTAATATATGCTATATTGTTTCCTCCAGCTGCTGTTGGTCAGCAGTGTTTGCACAGTATTTATAAGCCCGATCACAACAGTGTCATGTGTTATTGTGTGAGATCTTGGTGGTGTGTTACAGCAGGCTTAAACAATGGCCTCTCCACAGGATTACAATTTCAGTGTTAGTCTGGCTCATCATGAGGGTGTGTGACATCATGCATCATGTGACATCAGCTACACAAGGAAGAACTACATGCTCACACACTCGCACGTGTTTTCCGTAGGATCTCACCCCCCCTACACACACCAGTAGTAAACTGCACGTCTTTAGCTTTTTACACCACCTGTGGATTGTTCGTTATTTATTGCAAAGTAATACAAGTAAATAATTTCACACGTGTCTGTTTTTTGTAACATGATGATATAATGTGAATCTGACCTTTAACCTGGAACAGCCCATTTTACAGCCTCATGATCACAGTGGTACGCAAGTCAAGATTTCACTGTAAGACACAGAATGAGCCTCCAAGTGTTATATTACTTGATACTGAGAAATTTGTTTGAGAGTGTGTGTGTCTGTGTGTGTCTTCAGGCTGATCCAGGACCCTCAGGTTCTCATTAGGAAGCCACATGACTGCGTGGATTACTCTCTGCCTGAGGGATTAGATTTGGTCTTCTGCTCTTGGCTCACATTAAGGACATCACCACCACCAACCCTGTCAGCTGATCCACAAACGCTACATAACCACTCAGGCAGAATTCTGTCATCTGAATTCATCTAAAAAAAGGACTCTTGATGTACACGAAACGCACGGTGACACTGTTTCAGGATTTTAATTACACTTCAAAAAGATGTAATTAAAACAAATCACTGAAACTTTCATTTCAATTTGGAACAATATTTACCAAGTTTTCGTCTGTTAACTCTTCCTGTGACAACAGCTGGCACAGATCTAACTATTCATTACTGAGATTATGAGCCCAACATATTGTGTTCTCTTTAGTGCTCGGGCTCTGCCAGAGAACCACCTACAGAAAACACCCACATATTCTCTCAGAGAGATAGAGAGAGAGAGAGGGAGACGAGAAGAGGCAGGTAGCAAGAGAAGAAAATGAGACAGGAGAAAAGCAGTTCTTAAATGCTGCAGCTACAAAAGGTTACAGACAGCTCATCAAAGGTGCATGCAGGTAAACAGAAGCCGACGCATTAAACAGGTCACATTTGGCTGCCTTTGAAATATTTTCCAGACGGGATTCACACATATTTTAACTCTCTATTAGATCAGATCAAAAAACATTCAGCCAGCTCAGTCACATGGTGTCTTTTGGCAAGCTGCATAATTCAGTGACGAGAACTCAAGATGATAGACTTTATCTGATCTGATCAAGCAGCTTCACTTTTAGAAACTGCTCATGTGGTGCCATCTGTTGTCACATTAGTAACACTGCAGGCATTTTATTCACTTCAGGGAAACTAAGTTATGTCAACAAGTTATGGATGCTAATTTATTGGAAACAACCCACTCTTTTTCATTTCTGCTGGCATTTGCTAACCCCTCATTTATTTTAAATTATACTAATGGAACTTCGATGGCCTAATAAGGTGACACATCAGTGATTCATATATAATGTGTTTCCTGAGACGTCTCATTTCTACAGAAAAAACACAAAGAAAACATAGTTGGGTGTACACGCAGAAACATTGAGGGGGACACAGATGAAAAGGGGGGCTTAGGGGACCTCTGCGAATATTTTCATGCACCATTTTGTACATTTTCTGCATTATCTACTTTCATGTTTTTATTGGGGAGGCGGGCAAATGAACATGTTCTAAATATTAAGGGGGACGTGTCCCTTGTGTCCCCCCTAAATCTACACCTGTGTGTGCACATTAAAGTGAAGTGCAGCCACTTGAGAGTGACTGGATTTGAAACTTAATTACACCGTGTGAACACATACTTTCTCAAGCAAATGACCTCCTCTCTTAGGGCGACTTTCTCATCTTTAAGCCCTGGGGCCTCAGTGACTCTTGGTTCCCATTCCCTAGCACCAAAATCTATTAAGTCACCCTGCTTGACCTTTGCCCCCCTGGATCTTCCTTTAATTCTCCCTTCATGACGAGTGCATGAATATGTGGTGAGAATGATCAACATGGGTGTGATTTACAGATCTTACTATAGTTTTGTAATCATCCAGGGGGTATTATGCTATGTTTGCTCACATAAAAGAAAACTGAGAGATGAAAAAACAGTCTCTGTGTAATTAAAATGGCCTCCAGAGAGAGACGGAGGAGTGAAGACAGAGCGAAAAGAAAGAGAGAAACTTTAAAGTAACAGAGAGGAGCTAAGTGCGACAGAGTGACTAAGATTCAGGAGGGAGAAACATGAAAAACAAAGTGAAGTATTAAATCATTAATACATCTGTCCAGGTTGAAAGATGAGTCCTCTGGAGACCTTATGGTCTCAGCTATTCATCACTCACGCTGAACACAGACAGATTTTACATCTCATTAACCTTACTGATGGTTTTTCAATAACACTGCGTTGCACTAGCAATCATCTTAACAAGTGGGGGATAATAACAAACATCTTTTACCGTTTGAAGCAATTTTTTCTCTGTTTTAATGTTGATTGGTTTTCTTTCACATTTGCTTAAAAAATGCAGAAATCCATTTGTTATAGAAGGATACAGTCATTTTTGTGCATTGGAAATAAAGGAACACAGAAGCAATTTGTGCAGCATATACTGTACTAGGCCTGCACATCTATACAGCTCCCAGTCTACTGACTGTATAGGCACTGCCACTAGAGGGCGATAAGCACCAGCATTAACATTACTTTGAATGTGCAGTCTGCAATTGGCTTAGTGGGAGACAAATAAAAAAATTCTTGTGGTTAATGACATCTTAACACCCTCGAACCCCACTGTCATCAAAAATATAGTGTGGTTGCTCCGCATTTCCTTGTAAAACTAATGTTAACCTGATTTTTGTACTCAATGTATCATTTCATATTTTACAGAATTTTTTTAAGACCAACTGCACTGTAATGATTACAAAAAATGAAAAGAAATCAATAAATATATACAAATATAATACAGTGAAACTTGATCATAAGGAGGTTGCAAGGCTGATTTTCTGTGAAGAGTCCTGAGTGTCAAAGATCTACTATGAGCGGGGTGAAAATAGGTGAAAGGTTATAGGTGTAAGCCAACAGAAAAGCTTGAGTATTGAATGGGATGCACAAAACAAATAAGTAATTATGTTGTTGATTGCACAGGAGACACAAAATATACACATAAATATGCTCGAACCACATGCATCAATGAGTTAATGCTACATAGTTCACTTGACCCTTTACAGGAATTTGGATAAGATGTGTTTAAGATAATTACGTTGTGGGTAACACACAGTATTTCCATTCAATATGTAATAAGAGTCCAATACTTGCTACAATACAGGACAGACACATAATGTGGTTTTTAATTACACAGAGTGTGGCAGCTTTCCTCCCATAAGTGTACTTTGTTCATGTATAAAAGCTCTGCTAATGTGCAGTTTCTTTAGACAGCACTTTCAACACATTTAGGCAACATTTTTGTGAGGTCTGTTTTTAGTGAGTCAGAGCAAAGCTGAGAGCTGTGTGCAACCTAGAAGAGCTGCGTCACTGTGGTCAGACGACCACAATGACAGCCTGAAATATGATAGCCAGACATATGACCAGAAGGTAAACATGGCACACTATGTCAGGTCTATTTATTGAGTCGACTGGTTTTGGTGCAAAGTGCTGTTTTGTGTTGCACTCTACGCAGAGAGGGCAGAACCAACACTGTCTACAAGAGGTATTGTGTGCTTAGTTTTCCTATTAACACCTGAGAACCTGTATAAAAACATTATTCTAAACAACTGAAGTAAATAAGATGAATTGTGTTGTCCTGAGGTAATCAAGTGATGAAGCATATTATAAATATTAAGAGCATTGTTCCCTTTGATTTGTGATTAAAGTCGTGATTGTCTCAGTGCTAAAACATTTTAACATTCTCAGCATGCATCCTGGCTGTGTTGATTTGTGAGCAGGTCCCTTTGGGCTTTAACCAGAAGTCTAATAAGCCATTTGAAAAGCGTAAAACATTTGCTACAGAAGGTCATCAGAGACAAAAAGGTCAAATGAATAGTTTTGGACACCTGGAATGCAATTTCTGACCCCTTAATTTGTGTTTTAAATTGAAAAGGT